CATGTACCAGTCTAGTGGTACACGTACCAGTCTAGCGGTACACGTACCAGTTTAGCGGTATCTTACCTCCGAAAGATTCATTGCCCCGATTCCTAGACTCTCAAGAATAGGGGACCCCTCGTTGGTCACGCTCTGCACAGCCTCTAATCTCCTTGTCATCATCTCCCTTATATGTGTGGAGGTGTCCTTCTTATTTCTCCCAGCAAGTGGCTGAATGTAAGGAGCAGAACCCAATGATGAGTAGGCAGCCATCAATTCGACCCGTCTGTTGAAGCATGCAGTATGTGTCCAATTCTTGCACGAAGGAACCACTGTAGTCATCTCCTGACTGTTAATGGTCCTATCTAGGTACCACACCATCAACAAATGTAAATCTCCATTTGTATATTTTGTAGTCTCATTCTGCCGAAATGATTGCTTCATAAAACTCCACAGATAATGGCACCAGTTGTATTCAGCAAACTCATTAAACTCATCATCTTTTAGATACGCCAACACCGAAGATTCAGCAACATTCTTTGTGCTTGGTTTGAACAGGTAACCAAAACAGAACATGACAAACAAACGTACCCACGGTTTGTCGTCCTGAATTGTTGGTAATATCTTTTTCAAAGTCCACAGCTTGTGCCAATCTGGGTCTTCTCCTTCCATTCCATGGAGTTCATCACGCAACTCCTTGCACCTGTCCCAATCAAAAGTCGTCACCGTCCTTTTACCCCTAGGCAGTCCATAAACTCGATGAACATCATCAACTGTAAACGGCAATGCAGTGCCATTGTCCATGATGATGGACATTGTATCCGCATTGAATTTGTTCACCAACCAGTTCAAAAGCGGCTTGTCAAACCTTCTCATTTGCAGCTCAAATACAACACCCAAACCTAGCTTCTTCAATATAGCCCTCCTCTCGTTTGACACTCCATCACTCACCACTTCAATTATAGAGTTAGGGCTGCACTTTTTACCGATACATCATCAGTACGAGGCCTCTTGATCCGACCTTGTCCTTCTTTTTCCTTGCTCTTACGGCGTCGTTTCTTGCTGGTATCCTCACTAGAGGAACTAGACTGATTCACCCCAATTTCAACCTGCCTGGAAACATAGGTTGCAGGCTTCTTGCCAGCTGCGTTCTGGCCCCCAGGATTCTGCCTCACAACTTGATTGCCTGCTGGGATCTCAGGACCTGTTCTCTTTGTCCTTGCCATTCCTGGTTTCATTGGAAGATAAGTCAATACTACGAACTAACAAAAATACCATTGTAGTGGTACTTTAAAGAACAAATTCTTGTTGTAAATATCACTGCAGTGATAGACCCATACACATAACCTTTACAACTAACTACCACTTTAGTGATATTTAGACCATTTCAGGGATAAATCTACCGCTGCATGTGAAGGATTTTACCACTATGATGATAGATATACCACTATAGTTATCCATCTACCACTAGAGTGATATACCTACCACTACAGTGATAGAACTACCAATACAGTGATAGAACTACCACTACAGTGATAGAACTACCACTACAGTGATAGAACTACCAATACTTGAACTACCACTGCCCAAAACAATCAACAACTTTCGTGCAATGCAATACGCCGTAATGAAAGAGACGACAAGAAGAAAAGTATTCGTGAATGAGATTTAGACCATTAGATTACCAACTTTGTTTACCGTCCATTTTGGTCGAATGGTCATTGTGTTCAGTTGGTGATTGGTAATTAATTAAGTAATTAATTACATCGTAAATGAGAAAGAAGTAAATAGTGGGTTCCTTCTCCCACTCATAATTATTCATTCCCCCCTTACCTTTTTTTAATTTCACCCGTTCAGTTTCGTTCCCCTTCTATACCTCTGGCATCAGAACACGAAACCCTTCGCCGCCGACCATTGAAAGCAAGCACTACACCGCCGTAAACATCCCTAATCTCCTTCACAAACAGCGGTGGGCTCATCCCTCCCGTCGGAAGTATTCGCCACCGCAACCCTTCGACTTCAGAACCCGCTCGCAACCCTTTGCCGCCGACGCATCAAATCAGTACCACCGCCGTAAACCGTCATCCCCTTCACAAAAAGCGGTCGGCTAATCCCTCCCATCGGAAGTCGTCTGTCTTTCCTCCCGAACCATTGACTTCGAACCCGCGTGATCGATTCCCTCGCAGCGACAGAGGATATATAAACAGATTGGGGCGCCGACGTGATTTTTCGCTTAAATTAATCCTAAAGTGAGGCAAGTATACTTGAACGATCACAATTCACGTCACGAATACTTTTCTTCTTGTCGTCTCTTTCATTACGGCGTATTGCATTGCACGAAAGTTGTTGATTGTTTTGGGCAGTGGTAGTTCAAGTATTGGTAGTTCTATCACTGTAGTGGTAGTTCTATCACTGTATTGGTAGTTCTATCACTGTAGTGGTAGGTATATCACTCTAGTGGTAGATGGATAACTATAGTGGTATATCTATCATCATAGTGGTAAAATCCTTCACATGCAGCGGTAGATTTATCCCTGAAATGGTCTAAATATCACTAAAGTGGTAGTTAGTTGTAAAGGTTATGTGTATGGGTCTATCACTGCAGTGATATTTACAACAAGAATTTGTTCTTTAAAGTACCACTACAATGGTATTTTTGTTAGTTCGTAGTATTGACTTATCTTCCAATGAAACCAGGAATGGCAAGGACAAAGAGAACAGGTCCTGAGATCCCAGCAGGCAATCAAGTTGTGAGGCAGAATCCTGGGGGCCAGAAGGCAGCTGGCAAGAAGCCTGCAACCTATGTTTCCAGGCAGGTTGAAATTGGGGTGAATCAGTCTAGTTCCTCTAGTGAGGATACCAGCAAGAAACGACGCCGTAAGAGCAAGGAAAAAGAAGGACAAGGTCGGATCAAGAGGCCTCGTACTGATGATGTATCGGTAAAAAGTGCAGCCCTAACTCTATAATTGAAGTGGTGAGTGATGGAGTGTCAAACGAGAGGAGGGCTATATTGAAGAAGCTAGGTTTGGGTGTTGTATTTGAGCTGCAAATGAGAAGGTTTGACAAGCCGCTTTTGAACTGGTTGGTGAACAAATTCAATGCGGATACAATGTCCATCATCATGGACAATGGCACTGCATTGCCGTTTACAGTTGATGATGTTCATCGAGTTTATGGACTGCCTAGGGGTAAAAGGACGGTGACGACTTTTGATTGGGACAGGTGCAAGGAGTTGCGTGATGAACTCCATGGAATGGAAGGAGAAGACCCAGATTGGCACAAGCTGTGGACTTTGAAAAAGATATTACCAACAATTCAGGACGACAAACCGTGGGTACGTTTGTTTGTCATGTTCTGTTTTGGTTACCTGTTCAAACCAAGCACAAAGAATGTTGCTGAATCTTCGGTGTTGGCGTATCTAAAAGATGATGAGTTTAATGAGTTTGCTGAATACAACTGGTGCCATTATCTGTGGAGTTTTATGAAGCAATCATTTCGGCAGAATGAGACTACAAAATATACAAATGGAGATTTACATTTGTTGATGGTGTGGTACCTAGATAGGACCATTAACAGTCAGGAGATGACTACAGTGGTTCCTTCGTGCAAGAATTGGACACATACTGCATGCTTCAACAGACGGGTCGAATTGATGGCTGCCTACTCATCATTGGGTTCTGCTCCTTACATTCAGCCACTTGCTGGGAGAAATAAGAAGGACACCTCCACACATATAAGGGAGATGATGACAAGGAGATTAGAGGCTGTGCAGAGCGTGACCAACGAGGGGTCCCCTATTCTTGAGAGTCTAGGAATCGGGGCAATGAATCTTTCGGAGGTAAGATACCGCTAAACTGGTACGTGTACCGCTAGACTGGTACGTGTACCACTAGACTGGTACATGTACCACTATACTGGTACATGTACCACTATACTGGTACATGTACCACTAGACTGGTACATGTACCAGTGAACTGGTACATATACATATGTTATTTATTTTTTATTTCTATATTTAACGAACGATGTGTTTTGTGTGTGTACAGGTTATCGGGCTCAGGAAGGGCTTTGTATACCAGCAGACTATTCTATCTCGTCGGATAGCAGAATGCGACAGTCGCATTGCCGCACTACAAGAAAAAGATAATGAAGCTAAATATCAAAACGTTGGAGAGTCAACTGAAGAAGATGAGGATGGTAGTGATGACGACGGCAGTGCGCCAGAGGGTGATGAAGGTGATGAGGATGAAGAAGAGTTTGATAGGTATGACGAAGGTGATGAGGATGAAGAAGAGGGTCCTGATGATCAAGCAAGAGATCGGGATGATGAAGATGGTGGTGATGGAGTAGACAAGCAAGCTGATGTTTTCAGTCCGGTGGATCGTGAAGAAGAGGGTCGTGATGATCACGTAAGTGATCGGACTGGTGAAGGTGGTGATGGCGATGGATTAGGTGATGTCGGTAGTGGTGGAGATGGAGTAGAAAATGAAGATAATGTTTTCAGTCCGACCGTCGTGGTCACTCCGTTGGGTCAGAGAGATAATAATCAAGGTAACTTCTACTGTGTATATCCTTGTAGTGGTACACGTACCAGTGTAGTGGTACACGTACCAGTCGTCCATCTAACGTAATTTCTAATGGCTCACAACTTATGAATGCAGGTGGTTCTGTGGTGGAGGATGGGAAAACCATGGATGGTACTGCTGTAGTTTCGGATGGTGGCGTTGTGGTCAGTCCTGTTGTTCAGATAGGTAAGTGTAGTGGTACACGTACCAGTGTAGTGGTACACGTACCAGTCGTCCATCGAACGTAATTTCTAATGGCTCACAACTTATAAATGTAGGTGGTTCTGTGGGGGATGATGGGAAAACCATGGATGGTACCGTGGTAGTATCTGATGGTGGCGTTGTGGTCACTCCTGTTGTTGAGAGAGGTAAGATTCATGGTAACTTCTATTTGTAATATTCTGGTTTTTTTTATAAATGTATAGTGGTATACGTACCAGTGTAGTGGTACACGTACCAGTGTAGTGGTACGTGTACCAGTGTAGTGGTACGTGTACCATTCGTCTAACGAGCGTAGTTTCTAATGACACACAAATTGCTCTTGAAATACTGATGAAACATGTTAGCCTCGCCCCGGGTGAAAGGCTTTCGCCTTGTCTTTTGGATATAGTTCTTCAAGTCCGTTTGAATAAAAGGCAAATTCTTCTTACCTCCTGCCGCATCAGCAAATGAATCAAAAGTATTTGAAACCGGAATCCCAGCAGCATCATTTATTTTTGCAAACAAAGCATATTCAGCAGTTACTTCCCGATTCGAGCGCAAGAATCGTCGTGAGGCCTCATCATGTAACTCATGGTCGTGGACATCCGTCCATTTATAAATTCTGTAATTTCTGGTGCTGTGCTCATACCTGCACCTTGCAATTGCTTTGCAACCAAAACGAGTCTCACCCCTATCCCTTTCATTATCACTATCATAATCCACGACATCTTCTTTATTTTTAGGATCCAATATGCTGCCTTCTTTGTAGCCACCTTTGCTGCACCTCCCTCCAAAGTAAAATATAAATGGATGTGGGAAGTATGATCTTTTCTTGTAAATTGCACCAGTCTTTCTAACTGAGAAGCCTCTTCCATGAGCAAATTTCTTGTAGAACCTAATAAATTCATCCTGGTCCTCAAAACGGAAATGCTCCCATGTCGACTCGTCTTCTGGGACCACAGTGCCAACCACATCTGAGTTTATAACAAAATTGTATCAGAAAAGCTGTTTGGAATTGTACAATAAATTGTAAAAGAATACCAATGATGAAAAATACCACTACAGTGGTACTTATTGCACTATCACTTCAAATGAAAAATACCACAACAGTGGTACTTTCCGATTTGAAAAGTCGAGAGTCACCACATAAGTATAGATTTTTACTTAGCCAATTTTGTTGTTCCTCCACGACTGCAACGGGCTCGACATTCGCAACGAGGATATCAGGCGCATGCTCCACGGAGGCCGGTTCGTCCAGATCGTCGTCGTTGCCGGTATACTCTACGTTGAGGTCAAATCCGAGGGAACGTTTGCCGGTTAACTCTACGTTCTGATGACAGTGACCTCCGCCATCCAACTGGACGCTGTAATCATCCATTTGTTGAACTGATGGATCTCGCCAGCCGTCTATTGATGAACCAGAGCTATGGTTCTCCACAGCAATGGAAAGAAACAAACAATCGGAAATAGCAGAGGAGGGGGGAAAAAGAAACAAAGGGAAAGGGAGTGCAAACGCCATAATTTCCATCTATGGATCCAGCAAAATTGCCCCATTCCCGTGCATAATTAATATGTGCCACTTAATCCTTTCCCCATCAATATTTATTAGGGACAGCCATTAATACTTATCTAATTATTAAGAATAAAACTGACCAATCAAATAGAGGGTGTCGAAAATCACTACCCCTTTAGGGGTTAGCATAGTATCCTGGCCCGAAAACCAGCAATACCAAAACTCCGGTGGGGCAAGGGCAGATACCGGTCATTGGAAAAGAACCCAGAACGAGATCGAATTCAAAGTAGTTTGCCGTTTCAAAGGGAGGGAGCAATCTCACACAACCAGATTACAGGATCTAAAGACAAAGTGTCAAAATATTTAGAGATCATCCTTAACCCAAATTAGGGAGGAAAGATCTCGAATCTTGAGAGGCAATCCCATAGGATTGAATAATCACAAAGCGTCGTCACTAGGACGAGGTGAGTAAAAGGGAATACCATTCTCTGAACTAAATCAAATTGGTCCTTTCCACCTTCTGATCCAGATTTCCAATTAATCAAAGGGAAAGGGAGATTCGTACCTTCTGTTCCATCTTCGAGAATAACGACAAGGTATTAGCCTTATCCCTCATCCCACTTCTGAGTTCATCACCTCGGAAATGGGTTTTCTCCTGGAGAGATTTGAATTGGGCGAGACTGTCGAAAAAGTCTCTGACTTCCGTCTCCTTCACCTCGGAAATGCATCGCTGGGATCGATCTGGGCGTCGTCTTCTCCTTTGTCGCGCCCAAACCTCAACGCGGCTCTGCTTCTTCCTCGACCAATCTCTTCGCAATCGGAAGGAGGATCGGAATCGGAGCCGGCGGAGAATTACAAGATTTTCGTGGTAATTTGATCAAAATGGTCATATAGATTGACCAAATAGATTGATCTCATCAATAATCAGATTGACCGTTTTGTCCAAGTCATGGTCGTTTGGATGGATCAATCTAAAATTGGGGTAATGGTCAAAGCAGTTAAAATCGAGATTTTACTTAAGATCAAAAATTGGGGTAAAATTGGAATTGTAAAATCGAATCGTAGAATCGTAGGATTTTAAGTACCATATAGAAATTAACATATAATAATATTAATAAGATAAATAATTAATAACACAAAGACTTAGAACATTTAAAGTGATAATTTTCAAGATTAATGTTCCAAAATCATCATTTTAATTGTTATTTAATGCGTAACTCAAAATAATTTATGTGGAAAGGATAGAGCTCATGGGGTTTGGCTCTTTTTTTATGTTGTATGTAGGTAGTTTAACTCAAAGTAGTATTCCGACATCGTCTACAAATTAAGCATGATTTAAAACTAAGAATAGGTGAACTCCAATAAAATAAATAATATCATTGGTTTGGTACAAATATATTCATTAATCAAATAATTGGTTAATAATGATGTTAATTCTTATGTACTAACAATATTCGGACAATTGTTTTATAGATGCGTTAAACAAGTAGAAGGGAAAGGGGTTAACCCAACCCTAATTAGTTTTTTTTTTCAAATGTTCTTTTAATAGGAAAAATATATGAGAAGATCCCCGTCATTTCCCTTTCCACCAAAAAAGTTCTGCTTCTTTTGAATTGACTCAAGCTCCCTATTTTGTTCACATTGGATCAAAATCCCGATTTTGTTACGATTTTAACGATTTGAATCCCGATTTTAACGATTTGAATCCCGATTTTGAATGATTGAAGGTCCACCGATGTTATAGTAAAATCAAGAGCGGAATCGCTAAGTAAAATCCTACGATTTTACGATCAAAATCCCGATTTTGACTGCATTGGTAATGGTGTATTTTTGTTTCTGGAAATTCTTTGGTGCTTATATGCGTTTGAAGATGGAAATTTGTGGTGATAATAGCTTAATTTATTACATTGGTGGAATATGGTAAATGAACAAAGTGATTAAGCAAATCAAGGAAAACTCGAAGGAGTGCAAGGTGGACTAAGCAATCATTCGAATCGGGAAAAAAAAAAGAGCAAATCAAGCATCAACACATATGAAATAAAAAAATTTGTATTAAGCCAAACATCGAGTTTTCCATTATTAGAACCCCTATGGTTCACATACCTACACAACTAAAGAAACCAGCTAGCCATGGGGAAGGGTTTGTGGGTGATCATCCATCGAAAGAAAGTCTTAGAACACCACTAGAATCGAAAGTCACAATAGAGAAACTAGGCCTAGGCTTCCATTTACGACACTGATTCCTCCCTTGAGGTTGGTTTTGCTCTCAATCAAGTGAGTCGCTCTGTCGGCAAGATAACAAATCTTTCCGGACCTCTCATCTCCCCCTCCAATTTTTGTCTCTAAAGGTCTATTTATAAGCATTTGATTAGACTTTCTTGGGAGAGAAAATCATAGCCACTGCGTCATCTTGTTAATGAGAGAGCTCCAAACACGCGGCCAGAGAATCAGGAAGCTCTAAGGTAATTTTCTGACGAAGTAGATAAGTCCCATAATACAGCGGAAACAACACCGTTTTCCATCCTGAACTGCCTTTTCTTTAAGCCCATCTTGTCTTCGAATCACGGCTCCGGCAACTGGGCCTTTATGTCCCCTTCGATTGCCAACTGGTCCACTAGTCTACTTTGAGCTGAAAATGCAATCGCTACCAAAAGTGCATCAAACCAGTAAAAGCAATAGTCCTAGAGTTGCTACAACACATTTGAAGGAATAATAGCACGAATTCAAAGTATTATGATAATAATGATATTGAATGAATACACTTTGGATCATAATATGGGGTCCAGGATAGTCAATTCTATGTGTCATCATCATCTAGTTTATCGAATTTTGAATTAACTAATCAACTACAAAAAAGGAAACGGTGTTTGGTCTAAAATTTTATAGTCAGAAAGTCACTCGGGTGTTGTTTCCATCTAGTTGCAAAATAGATCGACGAATGATGTTCCAAACTTGTTAAATCATGATACATGACGGAGAATCCTATTCCTTCTTGAGCTCCCTTTCGAGTTACACAAACTAACCTATAATGAACTATCCTGAATGAAAATTTCCACATCTGGCTTAATAGAATGTCTAGGTCGTTCCAAACAAACTCCCTCTATTGGAATACTATCCAATACGACATTGTAGCCCGATTTCACTTTCGATCCATAGACCCACAATGAAGAGTAAGGTAATTGCTCTAGTCAAACTAATTGGATATTCTCTACCGTAGGTTTGTAGGCAATTGTGGGCGGATTTTATAGTCTAAATTGCATGTTTGGTAACTCAATTTAAGTAAATATTTCATGTTTGCCACCAAAATTATTTTTCTTTCTTATTGGCCACTAACTTTACGAGTCGGGTCACCATTAGTCACCTGCCGTTAGTCTTCGCTAAACTTTGTTAACTCTGTAAAATTTTTGATGACGTGGGAAACAAAACTGCTGACTAGACCGTTAACTAAATGACATGTCATAAAAAAAGTAAACTAGTTTTTAATAAAAAAAATTTAGATGTGCCATATTTTTTATATTTTGCTATTTCTCTTCACAAAGAAAAAAAACTTGTGGCCTACCCATGAATTTGTGGTCAGATCAATTAAGGAGGAGGACTCATCATCCATCCCAGATTCACCGCTCAAGGTGGGTAAAGTGGAGGTGAAGCTGGGCGATGGTCGATGTCCCGATCGAAGGTGGGTAAAATGGAGGGATGGGCGATGGTTGAACTCTAATAATGATTTTAAGCTCTAATTCTTCACTTAGAGATCTCCTTCATCATTTTCTCTCTACCCAGCAGATGCACTTTCCGGCTTTAGACTCCTCTCCTCAAAATCAATTTTCTGCTCCTTTATATAGCAAAAAGTGTAAAGTTCACGGTCACTCATCGCGATTGTGAGGATTGCAGTCAAACCGTGAGGTTGACCAAGTATCTACTATTTCACTTGCACACTTCACGTTGGGCAATTCTCACAACCGGCGGCCGTGAGATTTGGAAGTGCTCACGAGATACAAGGAGCTCTCTGAAAGTTTGACAATCTTTATGGATTGAGTCTAAATCTCACAATTGCTATAAAATTTGGTCACTCGAATTGCAAGTTTGGTCACTCGAATTTGGGGAGAGTGGAGAGGAGAAGGAAGGAAGAAGTCGAGAGAATGGTGGGAGCAATGGACAGAGAAAGGAGGTGGAATTTGGGTAAAAACTCTTTATAATGATGTGTAATTTCTAAAAATTTATTTTTTATTTTTTAATTATTTTTTATTTGCCACGTCACACATTTAACGGTCAACTGTCAGAGTTGATCGTCAGTCAAAGTTAACGGAGATTAACGGAGAGTGACCGAACTTGAACTGTTCAACTAATTCGAGTGACTATATATGGAATAAATTAATTTGAGTGGCAAACGTGAAATTTTATAGCAATTCAAGTGACCAAACTTGCAATTAAGCCCTACTATTTCACTTACACACTTCACGTTGTGTAATTCTCACGACCGGCGGCCGTGAGATTGGGAAGTGCTCACGAGATACAAGGAGCTCTCTGAAAGTTTGACAATCTTTATGGATTGAGTCTAAATCTCACAATTGAGAAACCATGAAATCTACAAATTCCCATGAGATGGCTCTAGCGTGTTGGTGAATATCACAACCTGGCCGTTAGAATTCGCTCTGGACTATGCGTTGACACTTTCCTCCATTTAATCCTTTTTTGGATCCCTTCTGCCCGACTTTCATTCCTCCTGCCAATTTGACCTTCTAGGACCTGAAATACACTCAAGACATGTCAAACATATTGTAAATGGCTTCAAGGATGATGAAACTCAAAGTTAGACGGCCAAGATAAATTTGGATACCTTTATAACGAATTTTGGAATTTTCTTGAAACGGCATCCACGTACGCAGTCGTCAGATCATGGGCTGCCGTTTCGGGCTCCTTATTAGGGGCCTTGGTCTTCTCTTTAACCCTTACTCCCTACAGTCGAACGTCGATGTCTTTCGGTGCTCCCAAGTGGTCCTCTAGCTTGTTTTGACAATAAAATGCACAAAACGCTTCCAAAAACTTATCATGATAAAAAAACATCCATCACACACACTTTGAGCATCCTCATATTAAATTCAAGGTATTATGACCATAAACATTGGAAATTAATGCACTTTTGGTCATAATACAATGGCTAAAATAGCATATTCTTTGAGTCATGAAGAGCTCCAGTTTCATACACCAAATAGCTAAAGAAGAACATCCTTGCTACTTTTGAGAAGGAGATGACACTGTTTGGAGGCGGAGGAGCCCAAGCACGACATTTCGTTAGTTGAAAATCACCTCAGCAAGACTGGGTATGTTTGAGCACCGATGGCTCGGTTGTTCAATCTCATTCCATCATTGCAGATTGCGTCATTGTGAGGGGAGACAATGGCTACTTAATCAAAGACTATTCTTTGAATTTTGGCGAGGGTTTTATCACTCATGCAAAGGTGACTAGAATTGTGCAGGGTATGCGACTTACCACACATCTCCACCTTTACTATGAATGAATTACCGACATCAGACCAATGATTAGACATGCCCTGACAGATCAAGTTAGAGTATGTTTATTGTGAGTTTAAATACGTAGCAGATTTCGCTACATCCATTGGGCACTCGTTTCCTGTTAGCGCAATGTATATGTTGCACCTTCGAGTGCTTTGACTTATTTGTTGTATTTTGATAGTATTGGGGTTCAAACCCTTTTTCATTAATACATAAAGTTGTGCCGCCCTTGAGCGTCTCTCTTGTTAAAAAAAAAAGGTACTACAACCCTTCGTAAAAGATCCAGCAAAGTAAGTAATTAAGAGAAAAATTACTTTAATGAATATACAATACAAAAAAGACAGACAGTTATGAGGAAAACCTATAGACGACATTGTTTTTTCGTCAGAAATAACCATCATTTCCAACAAAATGGACATTTTGTTGGGAAAAAATTATAATTTACGACCAAAAAATGTGTGCGTAAAAAATTACTATAAAACCTGTCGGAAATAATAATTAAGGAAAATATGAGGAACTATTAGTCACTATTTCTGACGACACTTGCTTTGGCGTTGCAAATAATTATTATTACTGACAAAGTTAAATTTGCGTCAGTAATATATGTTTTTTTCTACGACCTAAAAGGTCGTGTGAATAATTGATATTGTCGGAAATGTATTGTCGGAAATAATTGATATTGTTTTTTCCTTTTACGAACTATCTTCATTGGAAAAAATGTCTTGTCGGAAATGATATTATTTGTGAGGAATAGCTTGATCCATCAGAAAAACTAGCATTTTTCGACCATTAATTACTGGTCGTAAAAAAAGTTGGTCTTTAGATTTAAGTTTTTATGACCAAGTTATTGGTCGTCATAAATAACATGTTAAGATTACCAATATTTAAGTTAGCGGTGACATTTTCAGACGAAAATCATGATTCGGTTGG